ATCACTTTTTAGCAATTATAATATTAAAAAAGTAATTAGGCATATTTATTAATAAATTTTAAAAAATGGTGACTGGATTTTTTTACACCAAGAAAAATGTAAAAAAGCGCTTTCAATGCACAGTGTGGTATTTGAGCTCTCTAGCTGGCCAAAATTATTTTAATTAGTATTTACCTTTAAAATGTGTTTAAAATATATTCTAAGCCAAATATATGTAAAAGTACAGAGTTTTTGAGGTCACCTCCCCCTTTCAATACATATTGGAAGTGCCAACGGGCATCAATATTGTAAAAATCCAGGTAGTGAAAAAATAAAACTTGGCTAACAAATTTGGATCTAAAATATGATTCTAAACAACTTTTTTTTATAATATTTTGTCGTATATTCCATATGAAAGGTACACAAAAAATAGTAAAAAAAATAAAAATTTAAGTTGGATAAGAATTTTTAAATTTGATATGGGGGCTTAAATATTAATTCTAAACAACTTTTTTTAATAATATTTTGTCGTATATGCCATTTGAAAGGCACTTTACCTACACAAAAAATAGTTTTTTTAATATTTTCAAGGCATACTCGATTTTTCAAAATTGAAGTTATCTTGAAAATTAATCTTTTATCAAGCAGGAACAAGATGGGACTAGTTATTAATTAATTTGAGTAGCAGAATATTGGTGCTATTAAATTAAAATTAATTTATCATCAGGACTCACCCTGATGTATATCTAAACTATTCCCATATGTTAAAAATGCTTAAAATTAAACACCTAAAAATTACTTTTTAAATAATGTCAATAAAACCATTATTAAATATGATAAATATAAAAATTAATATCAACGTAATGGTAAAAACCTGGTTCATCCGTACCAATCACTAAAACCACAATAAGAGGTAACAAAAAAAGGTTCTGAAATAGCTTTGTCACTGGGATCACATACAAGTACTTACTTAGTAAGACGAACTGATATCTATGCGAGGCATGCCGGGGTAAAGTCATCTGAGGATGGAGAGGTGCTTATGGGCATCTATCGTGGGCTTTAATTATCGGAGATTCTATTAGAAGTGTTTTTTTGTATTTTCTGTAGCTTAACATTTGGAATTTTGGCCAGCTAGATTGCTTAAATAGTATTAATAAATACCACACTGTGCAATGGTGCAATTCGCCATAAAGTTTTCAATTCTTCGCACCAAGATTTAAAAACATTACATTCTAACTTTAAACCTTGTTAACTTTTTTTTTGTCTACAAAATTTTAATATTTTATACTCGGTTTTATATTTCCATTTAGATTTATAATTTTACTATTATTTATTTCTATCGATATTTAAAACAAATAAAATGTTTTTTTACATTTAAAAAGTAAAAAAAAAATTTTGCCCCATTATTATTTGATTTTTGTATTAAACATTATTACAGCACAGCAAACGGAAAATTATAGAGGTGTATAGGATGACGCCACGTTTGAATATCGATTTCTAAATCTCCCTACGGTATAGAGTGGTATTCGTCAGTCGAGCGTTTCAATACTCTCCACAGTATAGAGGTCGTAATTTCACTTTTGAACTAGTATTAATATAAAAATTATTTTATGCTTAAAAAAAAACTATATACGACATGATTGTGATTTTTTTCATTTTATTAATTAATTAAGCTGTGTTGAATATTTTTCCTAAAGGAATAATTGCCAATGGGCCATTAATTCATTTGTTCGTAGATGCTACAATAACCTGCACTGGTGTGTACTTTTTCATCAACCAGATTTAAATATTACAAAACTATACCAGTGGAGATAGTGCAGGGTCTACCAACAGTAAGGTGGGTCGAAACAGGCCGGTTTTTAAAAAAAGTTTTAAAAATAAACGCGCTAGCCTGAAAAAGTTGTCAATTGATGTCTTGAGAGTTTCTAAAAAAAATTGAATTTTTTGGACAAATTTTAACCGGGCCCATGGGCCCTTTAAGGGGCCAATTTTTTTTTTCAAAAAATTTTGTGGCGCTACTTAAATAAAGTTTTCTTGAGGGCTTATCAGTACTGTAAAAAAAACTGGACCAAAATAAATAATTTTTAACCAGTCCCTCGGGCTGTAACGCAGACAATAATTTAAAGAAATATGCTTTTTTTAAATTTTGTGCAGCCTTTTGCTTGATTTAGTGATTTATAATTAAGAGCAGAATTATACATCGCTAAATCAACCCAAAACTCACCACGCGGAGGTATCTGCACCTAGAGTTCCTCCCATTTGGGGACCCTCCCGCCCTTTCTGAATAGCAACTTATGTATCATTTCGCTTTTTAAAATATTGCGATTTGTTATCAAAAGTTGGTAAAAATTTTCGGCCCTCTAATTTTAATCTAATGTCACCGTCTCTGGATGACTCTCCGCAAACCTTAGTAGAAGCTTCAGTGACTAATTTAACACAGCGTTCTACCGCTTGTGTATGACACGGAAATTTTTCAAAGTTTAGGACTTCTTTTCCGGCCACAATATTATCTAAAACTTCGTTGGTTACGTTAATGGCGGTTCGGTGATCGTAGTTTTCTGCCAATCTATTAAACTTGTGTAATCGTCAGCATCTAAATTAATAAATGGTACCCTAAAAACTCTGACCGTTTTATTAGTTTGCATCCTACATTTTTTAATCCTTCTTTCAGCTAACTCTCTTATGTATGAACGTGGGTCGGTAAGCATTGCCAAAAGTATATTTTCGGGGTGGGCAAAATATGCATTGTCGGCAAAGACTTTGTCAATTACATGTTTAACATTATCTGGGAATCCTCTTGAAGCATTTATAGATTTCCACAGATGCCTCGCTCCATCGCAAATATGTGGTTTTGTTTTAATTTCAAACCAAACAGGTGCGTAGACCTTTAAAATAAATTCGGTAAAAATAACTAGATTGGGAGATGGATTTTTAGTAGCGATATAAAGTCGTAGCACTCTGTTGGCTGTAGTAAGCCACCGTGCATGTGATATCTTCCCTGGATCTCTCATTGCCAAATTGGGAGTAATGGTTCCATTTTGAATGCCTATACAAATCTTATATAAGTACTGCTGATTTGTCCTTAAGTCGTCTGGTTCGAGTTGAGGAAGAGATGTGTTTATGGGTTTAAACTGTACAATTGGCATCTCTTGACAGTGTTTTAAAAGAGCCCCAATTGGCCCCGAAAAGCTGTAAGGTCCTTTGGTATCACCATCTAAACTTTGCAATAAGTGCCTTAATGGTAGCTCATTGGCATGGAGCAGACAGATACACCATTGAAGGGGCCTTTTAATATCATTTTCAATTAGTCGAATGATACCTCCTTTTCATCCAGTATTCACATGTGTACCGTTACAACCTATCACGGTTAAATTACTGATATCTGTATCATACTTGTTTAAGCATTGAAGAAGTTCATTCTTTATATTTGCTGCGGTAGTAGAGCCCTTCATAGACACATGGGAAAAGTAAATGTTACCAGGTTCTTTTAAAATTGTTGTATTGTCTTTTTACTATTTTTAATACAAATTGTTTGGTCCTTCCTCCCGTCGAAATATAGTCCTTTTATGTCTTTGTTTTCTAGTTGCTGTTGAAGCTTTTTACTGTTTTTGCTTAGCCTACCTGTCACGAGTTAGGAGATGTTTACTTCTCCCTCTACCCATCATAAAATCAATGACCTTGAAATAGCAAGCACGCGAGTATATACGAGAGCCAGTCAAACAATATAATTGAAATTTTCTGTATTGTAGCGTAGACTAGTACTTAAAATATGGACCCTGGGCCCGGCTGAAAATGTTTTGTTTTTAATAAAAAAAAAATTGGGTAACATTGGGACAATAACAAATAGTTTACTCACTAGCGCCGTCAAATTTGAATAACTTTTTTTTTGGCCCTTTCAAGGGCCAATGGGCCCGGTTAAAATTTGTCCGATTATAATTTTTTTTTAACGTAATTTTTTGTTTCCTTACCACACAACTTTTTTTTGGTAGCGCTTGTAAAAATTTGAAAAAAAAATATTTCGACCCACCTTAACCAACAGACCTAATTACTAAATTATTAAAGTTTTATCGATCATTTTTCAACATAACCTCTTAAATTTTTAATACAAATATATGTACTTTATATAATACATAAATATACTTAACATCATATCCTCTGTGCTTTACATACCTGAGTTGTTACGGTAAATAAAAATCAGACAAAGGAACCAAAGAAAGGAACTATTTTCAACAAAATCATATGGAGAAATGAGAAAATTCATCCATCAAAAGATCAAAACTTCTTGCAATATTACACCCTCTTTTTATACTCTCAGAAATATTGACTAGAACAGTATTAGAGAGACTCCAGTTTCTATAACTTGGTAGAGTAAAGAGAAGTCGAAACCGTTGCGATATTGCATTGCGCTGTTTTTGTATAATTCTCGGGGACATTAACGAAAATCATTGCCAGTAAAATTCGAAAAGCTTGAGTTTCTATGTCTCTGAGGAGAATAGGAATCCGAAGTTGCTGCACCATTGGACTGAACCCTTTTTTAATAATTTCTAGAGACATATATGACTGCACCATTCGACAGGGTCGAGTTTCTACTCCTCTGTTGAATATAGAAAATCAAAATAATGTATCTTGTAAGACACCATTGAGTTTGACTTTAAATATAGTCGTGCATAGGTATAGAGCCGAAAAATATAAAAACAAAGCACGATTCAATACAGTTATGATAAAACTTTAAGATTTGATATTCAAACGCGGAGTCATCCTATACACTTCTATAATTTTTCGTTTGCTGTGAGACTCTAGGGTGGTAGTTTTCATAGAGAAAATTGAAACAGTGTGTTTGTTTATAAATTGATCGCAATAAAAAACGTTTATTAATTATTAAAGATGTCGGATATAAATAAACAATTAAATGTGTTGTCCTAAAATATTTAAAAAAAAACGCGGCCAAAAGTGTATTCATTTCATTTAATGTGAAGTATATTTATATATATTATTATAACTAAATATTTTTTATTTTTTAGAACATGCAACAGCAACAACAGCAGGAATTCCATCAGCAGCAAATGATGTATAACAACAGTTCACAACAACAGCAGCAAAATTTCCAACAGAGATTCTAAAGAGGCTGTTATACTTTTTTTTTATATTTTATATTTTATAATAGAGTTAGTTATGTTAACTAATTTAAAATAAAAAACAAGATATTTTTTATTTAAACACGAAATAAAGCGTTTAATATTATATTTGAGATCTCAAATATCGATATTTTGTATTTTTTCACTAAAGAATGTATAATATTTTACAAGCAATAATATCCAAGTGTGTAGAATCAAAAGCAGTCAAGTAACTTTTTGGCAAATAAAAACCAAAATATGCGTTTCATTCTTCTATAGTAACTCTACCATTTTACAGGGTTATTTGGATGTAGAATCAGTTTCGGTGTTTTATAACAGGACAAATCTCGTTCCTAAATAACATATCTTATTTTTGCACACTATATATATATATATATATACATATGTTTATTACACATATGCGTTAACGTAATTTAGTAATTATCAATTTAACCAAAAAAAAATCACCTAGAAAGTTGTTGCAGTTTTACAAACAATACAAGATTATGTATATACCCATAGATATTTATTTACACATATGGGGCAAAACAAGCCAAGTGTTCCCACTAAAAACTTAAGTTGTTTCCGATTTTGATGAAACTTTGCTAAATCATTGTCCTATCGGACTACTTTAATTAAACAAAAGGGCAGCGGAAAAGACTGACGGGTTGCAGATATACAGGGGCTTGAACTTTTTCTTTTGTCAGAGTCTTATGGTTTTGTCAGAGTCTTATGGTTGATAAAAAAAATATATAAATGATTTTTTTTAAATCGACAAATAATATATCCCACCTATATCTTTTTTTTCGTGCTTTAAGATAGAGGTGGTTTCAAAAGAGAAACAAATTTTTTTGGCTAAGAAAAATTGATATAAAAAATGTTTTTACTATTTTCTCGAAATGGGACCATTTTGATTTTTTTTAAATAAGGCTATTCTTTTACCTAAATTTTGATATATATGTATATATAGGTATATATATATATATATACCCTCGGTGGTGTAGTATATCTCTACTAAACCAAGGTATAATATAGTATATATAGTTATAACTATAACTATAGCTATAACTAGTTAGCACTGCGGACTACAAGCCGAGAGGTCGTGGGTTCGAATCCCACCAGGGCCAACAACATGTTTATTTGTGTGTGTCAGTGTGTACTCCTGTAATTGGGCCTGGTGCCTGTTGTAAGCACATTAAAATAATAATAAAAAAAATATTTAATAATAAAACATGTGTTTTATAATTACCTATTTATAATTTTGCCATATTAACCGAACATTTTTATTTATTAAATTAAAAGACAAAAATCGATTTACAATAAAACAAAAGCACAGACAACCATTGTTGTTGTGTATTCTGTGACAAAAGTATATCTAAAAAAATTATTTTTATTTATTATTAAATATTGTTTTTTTAAATAACATAGGTTAAAAAAAGGACAGATTATAAATTAATTATTATTATTAATTAATCCACGATCAAATTTAAAACCAAAACATTTAAATTTGGCGCCGTGTATAGGGTATTTAATTTTTTTCCAGTGTTTATTTGACGCTTCCGTTTCCCATGCGCAATCTCTTTTTGACAAGTCTTCTTGCTTGATAGGTATGGTTAATTTTAATATTTAAAATTTTGGTCAAATAATAGAAAAAACAAAACCCTTTTGCAAAAAATTCTTATAAAAAATATTAATAATTACATTAAAGCTATATTTTTAGCATTTAAATGAAAACAAGTAAATAATGAATAATACTAAACACGATAAACATGTGTGAAAATGAACATTTTAATCTTTATTTTAGACGCGCAAACGAAAATGCAGTTGTGTTTCCGTGGACAATCCACCCATGTGCTTGAATGCCAGGGCAATGAAACCATTGGTGAAATCAAAGTAAGGAATTACACCACACAATTTATAGGTTATGTTACATTACATTTTTTTGTTTTAGGCCAGAATCGCTGGTTTGGAAGGTTTCCAGGCCTCAGAAATCAGCTTGTATGCTGCTGGTACCCCAGTCTCTGATGACAGCTTTGTGAGCGCTTTTGAGCAAACAGACATTGAATTGACTGTTGGATTGCCTGGTGGTAAAGTGCACGGATCTTTGGCTCGTGCTGGTAAGTACATTAAATATGTTTCTTGGGTTATTTTGCAAGTCACAGCAGGTTTTAAGCGAATATTAGCTTTTAACCTTCCTGAATCTTGCTATATTATATGGGCTGTTTGAGGCAGTTTTATAATAATTGTAAAATTGTCATAGAAAGTACCACACAATATTTGATTAATGTTTATTTGCTATACTAATTGATTGGTGTTTAACAATGTTTTGTTTTATTAGCTTAGTAACTTATATATTCTATTTGATCAATAGGTAAAGTAAAGGGTCAAACCCCCAAAGTAGAGAAACAAGAAAAGAAAAAGAAGAAGACTGGCCGTGCTAAAAGACGTATCCAGTACAACAGGAGATTTGTAAATGTTGTAGCTCCATTCGGGCGCAGGCGCGGACCTAACTCAAACTCTGCTCCAGCTTCTTAAGTTTTGTATAATATGCAACTATGACATCAGTTGCTTTTATTTAATATAAGTTACATGTATTAAATTATGTTTGTTTTATTTTTCCACTTTTTCTTAAAAAAAAAAAACCCAGCAGTAATTTTATTTAGGTAGGTAGGTATATTTTTTTTATTGAAAAATATCCTATAATATTTGCCTGCATTGTATTTAAAAATAACTAAACCATAGGAAACCTTGTTTAAAACTAAATCAAAATAAATTTATATTTTGCCCACATTGCTAATGTGAACATAATTAAAATTATTTATTATTAATTTTTAACAAAAAGTTTCAATAATTTTGAGCAGTGATTTTTTTCTCATATATTTCATACATTTTCTTTTTTTATGTATATACCTATACCAGTTATTAAAAAAATGTATTTAGTAATGTCAAATTGTAAAAAATTTTAGTTAAATTCGCACAATAGGTATCTATTTACTTTTTTTGTTAATGAGTTATTTTATAAAACTTGTGGTTAAACACTACTAAATTTAATACCAGCTGGTGCACTAGTCACAGATTACCTATGAAGGCACTAGTGCACTCAGTGCACTTTTGTTAGAACCACAATGTGGATTGTGGTTAGAACCATATGACTTTAAAAATTGCAATATTAGACATAATTCAAATTTTAAAATACAAAAAACTATCTTCTTTAGGTATATTCTAAAAAAAACACTTCTTTATTAAAAGGGGGTTGCCCAATAAAATTTATTTAATTTTAACCTAAATAAAATATCACAATTTTCTATACATGAACATTCCAGTTGCTTCCATCTTCTGGAGTTAGATGATTGGTAACCAATAAAACAACATCAACAACCCACCAAACTCCCAGTCCTCCCAATGTTAATAATTTTCCAACCCCAGTTCCAGTTTGTCCCAAGCAGAACCGGTCCATTCCAAGAAAACCCAACAGAATGCTATAAAGCAATGTAGTTGTAAAATACTGGTCAGAATATTTAACGCAAGGTACATTGTGTCTCAAGAAGGTCTTGTTTCCATAACATTCGATATCATCTAAAGCTCTGCACTTTTGTTTGGCTTTTTCCACCTTCTCATAATGCATGCCTCCAAATTTAAGGCAACCATGTCCAAGTTGTTTTTGAGATGTTTCGTTTCCTTTATGGTCTACCAGAGGCTCACATTCTACAAATTCCCAAGAAAGATATTCACACTTTACTAAAGGGGTAAAAGGGTCGAAAGCTTTTGTTCTGTTTTCTGAAATCGTTTCTGCATTTGTTAGACTTATTAGAAGTACTAAAATATATAAAATATGCATTTTGTAAACATTATATTTACAGAATTTTAAAATGCAAGTTATAAATTCAAGTGAAATTGAGGTTATGTTAAAATGTCAATTGATTTACAACACAATTGTGTGAAGAACATTTTTATTTAATTAACTACAAGAAAACTTAAGTTTTAAACAATATTTTCTTATAATAAAGTAGATGCCGGAGTTTTGGAGATTTAAAAATTAATTAATTAAAAAACATTTTAAAATAATAATAAATAAGTAATGTTTTATTTCCTAGTAGGTAGGTAGGTACAATATACATATACTAGTAGGCATAGAAAAAGTATATAGGTAGGTATATACTATTTACCTATAAGGCCTTGTTATTATGATTTTACCACTTTGAGGTCTCTTTTAAGGCTTGCAAGTCTCTCTGTAAGAATGTAACAAACACAACGTTTAAAACGATTATTAATCTGTACAAACCCAAAGCACAAGAATTGTAAACAACAGTAGTATTTTTACTACGAGATCGAACAGACCTTGTTGTGTGGATTGTGATATAATGGTGGAGTGGAGACTTTCTTAATCAACGCTTTTAATAATGCTAAATGCTGTTTAAATTTAGACGACTTATTTGTTTGACGATTTTTACTGAATTGAAATGTTTACCCTTTTCACGTTAATCACTACTAAAATGTGTATTTATTGTAAGGTGACCAACCGTTCTGATTTAACCAGAACTATACTGTTTTTGAGAACCATGTTCTGGTTGTAAATTAAAAGTTCTGTTTTTCAAAAGCTGCTCTGTTTTTTTCTGTTTTTATACCTACAATACTAATTAAGCCATAAACATAAAATTATACTTTCCACTTTGCCAGATTTTTCGCCCAACCCCCACTAAATATTGGCGTTCGCACTTGGCTCTCCCCAAACGAACTAATAGTTCTGCGTTATGCGCGTTTTATTGTGGTTAAATATTATAATATCCATTGTTTTTTTATATTTCAAACTCTAAATGATATGCCTCTGTAAAGAGGAAAATGCATCTTTAATGCAGAAATGCAAAAAAATTACCCATTTTGGACAAAAGACAAATCACAATTGCGTATTGAAACACTAAAATCATTATTAATTGTTAAAACAAATTCACTCCCAAGAAAAATATAGCTTTAAAAAATCTTAATTTGTAATAATATTATGTTAATAGAAATACATGTAAACATTTTATAAATAATACAGATTTTTTATTAGAGTTCTGGTTTTTCTTTTAGGAGAGTTGGTCACCTTAATTTATTGTAGGTATCTAATAGGTACAATTTATATTTACTGAGACTGTATGCAATTTATTTCTTCATTCAGTTTATTGGAAAACGGGTAAAAACTCAACCCAGGATTTCCTCTCAACAACACAACATATCGAGCCACGGTTTTTTTTTTTCGATATTTTTTAACATTTTTCGACAATATTCTCAAAAAAACTCGTTTGTAACCTAAGCATTTGACAGTTGATTATTAAAAGTGGTACTTTTGTTACGATGAGCAGCCGAGTGGTGGCGCCACTAGCGATACTTCTTTAGCGTATATGGGTATTTAAGCTCCTTATGTACCCAAAAAATTAAAAAATAAAAAAATTAAAATGTGGTCTTTTGTGTTTTTATTAAAACAAATAAATATAAACTAAATCATTGTACTTATTGCGCTTTCATCGTAGAAAGATCTCCTACAATTTTTGATAAATTATTTAAATGGTTTTCATCTAAAGTTAATTTTTCATTTAATCTTGCTGCTAAAATTGTTGCTTCTGGGAATCCGCTATCTGAACAATACTGAATACAAGACTAAAAAATAGGAAAATAAATTAAAATTATTTTAAAGTAATTTAAATAACTTACAATAGCTCTGCTGGGTTGTTTTTCTTCAATGCATTGGTCAACAAAAAGTGAAAGAGCCTCAATTTTAGGTACACCCACTATTGTGGAATGTCCCTTATCTAGTTTATCCATAACCGTGCATGATTTTATAAAATCTTTGTTTCTAGTTACCAAAGTTAGGATTTTTCCCAACAAATCCCCAGTAAACCTAGTGAAATAATTATAAAACGTTTAAATAAAACTGTATAGGATTTTCCCATAAGCTGAATAGGTTGATGGTATTATAATTTATTTAAAGGGTGTCCGAAGAAGTACTATCACCCATAATATAACAAGTGGTATGATTATCATCGATGATATTTTCGAATTGAAACCGAGCTGCAGATTTCACGAGTCCGCAGGACGAGTGAAATGTGCTGCTTCGGTTTTAATGAGTAAATATCATCGATAATTAATCATACCACGAGTTATATTTAGTAAGAAAATATAATGAATTTTAGGGTTTAACGAATTTTTAGTTTGACATTTGAAATTAAAATGTGCTTTAAAATATAAAAAGACTTTAATAAACCTTATTTATCCAAACTTACCTTAATTTCATTATCGTTTACACCAACCCATCGATCTTTTAGAGTTTATAATTCATTATTTTATTGATATATATCAAAAACAGAATTGAAATGACAACAAATGTCAAATCAAAAAAACGTCAAAATTCATAGTAACGTGTAAACAAGATGATAAAAAATATTGCCGCTGTGATAAAATACGTCACTATGGAATACTGGCATTTTATTGGTTCTAATATTAATGAATTATATTGTCGCTAACAAAAAAAACTCATACAGCTTAAAAATCTAGTGTTCCTGATTTTCTATCATTTTGTTGGAGTAATTATGGCTTTTAACACGATACGTCACATTTGAAAGGTCTAAAATTAAATACAAAGTTAGGTTGAAGTTTGAAAAAAAATATATTATTTCGTCATCCCTCTGTTTTTGTCAATTAATGCCCGCAAACGGCAATGCATGGAAGTCGCCGTCTTGCTTTATCTCGTTCCAAATGGCTTCAATGGCTTGCCAGAGTTCGTCTGCATTGTTTGGTTGAAAATGTTGTTAAAAAAGTCATAATGGATGTGACAAAGCTCGATGTCAGCTTGACATTGACGGAAAAGTTTTATTCACACAGCCACAATATAGCTGTATGAGTTTTTTTTGTTAGCGATAGTACATAAAATTTGAATTTGTATTCAAGTTCTTGTTGAGATACCCTTACTATGACATTTAAGCCTGATTTATAGATTGCCTTTTTTTCTTCCTTCCTCCCGTAGACGATAAACAATACAATCCCGTACGGGAATCTATAACAAGCACTACGGTTTTCGTATTGTTCATCTTTTACGGAAGGAAGGGAGGAGGGAAGGAAGACAATCTATAATTCAGGGTTTACGATTTAGGATTAACAATATTATAGCCATACAGACGTCATGATGAGCTCATCTCATAATTTCTACATGGCATGAGTTTCTTATGAGGTGTATAGTATACACTGTGAACCGTATTTTTATTTTTGATGTATGCAGCTGAGGCATCATAGCAGCATTGGGTTTTTAAGAGGGAAATAATTCGCTCTAACATGACAACATACCTATGTTCAGTCGCCCACTCACTGTCGTTGGGTCGCTTTCTATGTGTTGAGTGAAAGTCAAACTCCGCTATGAATTTTTAAAATTAAATTTAACTAAAAGGTGTTTTTTTAATAAAAAGTTGTAAACATAAAACAATTATTATGTTTAATTAAGTTTTGAATTTTTAGTTTCATTTTAAGAGCAGAGTTAAAGAAGAGAGTTAAATGCAAAATTTAATTTATTATAATTATAATTTACTGTTAAAAATGACTAGTAGGCAGGAGTAAATTTGGATGAAATATTTTTGTTGGTTTCGTCTAGAGACCCGCCAAAATTTGGTCACCAATAATAAGGTCTTACTATATTAAACAAAAAATGTTACTTTTTTTACTTTTCGTACATAAAAAAAAGTTACATTTGATCACTAACAACAATTCATCAAAATTTGATTCCCTTAAAACAAGTTGTTGAGGTTCCTATTCCAAATGAGAATAAAAATATACAGGGTGTCCCAGAATATCTCCCGGATTAAGATAGGTATAACAAATAAATTTTTTTTATTAAAAATAATATGACAAGTTCCTATTTTTTTTCCTACGCCCCCCCTACGGAGATACCGGCCCATAACGAACGCCCCTGGAAAGAAAAAAAAGGATCGAATTTCAAAACACTCTATTTTCAACTGACACTGACATCATTATTTAAATCGGCACATGTCAAAAAAAACATTACAAAAAAAAAAAATGTAAAAAAGCCTTTTTTTTCAAGCGGCCTAGATATACAGTTGTATTCAATAAAAAAGCGTGCAAGAATTAGAATGAGAGAAAACTGTCAAAATAATATTATTGCTTAAAACAGGCTTATCACTGACATAAGTCATTAAAATAATTACTATAGGTAAGAAGATTATATTCAGGAGCTTCAACTCCGCATTTGATAATAGATAGAAAAGCGTCGCACAAACGATTTTTAATCAACCAGTTGTATAGTTTCCCATAAATCCTCAGATATCTCAAAAAAAGCAGCATCCTGTTCAGGAGTGGACATTTTGGGACGACCTGAACCAACTTTTTGGTTTAGTAAATCTTCCTGTTCCCAGAGTTGCTTAATTTTTAATATAGATTTTTTATTTCTATCATACCACAGTACGAATTGATCATTCTTCTTCGATTCTTGATACTATTTGAGCCTTTTTAACTGACGAGGCATTTTTATTTTTTACTGTCAGTTATAGTGACTTAAGTCAGTGAAAAGCAGGTTTTACGCAAAAATGTTGACAGTTTTCTCTAATTCTTGTACGCTTTTTTAATGAATACAACTATATGCATGTATAGAGATAGTTGAAGTGCGTCTTTTTCATTAGCGGCAGACAAAAAACTCAAAAAAGCCTAGGGATAGAAAAAATCCATAGGTGACTCAATAGACGTCAAATAATAAAGTTAATTTAGCATTTCATACAAAGCAATCACGATGTATTAATTTTATTAATTATAATCGCACGGAATATTTAGTGATTATTTAAATTTTAATTGAACGAAATAAAGAACAATATTATGATGATAGACGAGTCGCCAATATCGAAACTCCAAACAAATGTCAGTAGGTACCTACGTCAAAATTAATTCAAGCGCAGCATTTTGACAAAGCAGTGTTTATTTTTAGTTTAGGATATTTATCGGCATTGTAAGTAAGTAAGGGTTATAAGTTTTTTTAGTTTTTATCAATAATTTCTAATGCTTTTAGTCAAAATTTTATCCCACATGAGTAAATAAAATAATTCTATTGCTTATCTTATTTATATTACGCCCTTGAAAAAAAAATTGTATATGTTATTTGGAGTAGAAGCTCTTTTTATGCTTCGTCGGTCAATCTCTGTACTCACCATAAAAAGAGTCACTTCTACTCCTTATGACATAATCTACTATTTTTTAGTTTAAGTAAAATAGTATACTATATGACATATACAATTTTTTTTCAAGGGCGTAATATAAATAGGATAAGCAATAGAATTATTTTATTTACTCATAACTCATGTGGTATAAATTTTGGCTAAAAGCATTAGAAATTATTGATAAAAACTAAAAGAACGTATAACCCTTACTTACAATGCCGATAAATATCCTAAACTAAAAATAAACACTGCTCTGTCAAAATGCTGCGCTTGAATTATTTTTGACTGACATTTGTTTGGAGTTCCGACATTGGCGACTCATCTATCAACATAATATTATACTAATAAACTAGTTGTTCTTTATTTCGTTCAATTAAAATTTAATAAATAATCCCCAAATATTCCGTGCGATTATAATTAATATAATTAATACATCGTGATTGCTTTGTATAAAATGCTAAATTAATTTTATTAATTGACGTCTATTGAGACACCTATGGATTTACTTCTATCCCTAGGCTTTTTTAGTTTTTTATCTGCCGCTAATGAAAAAGACGCACTTTAACTATCTCTATACAGGCATAATATGCCTTATATATTATAAGGTTGTATATCATGGCCGCTTGAAAAAAATTATTGTTGTGCCTTTATAGTACAGGGTGTTAAAAAAATAATATTACTCTGTTAGAGCTATAGACCATAGTTCGTCCCTGGAAAACTAAAGTGCCCATTTTAAGGAAACTTTCCTAGTATTCAATATATTTAAAAATTTAATTCCACCTTGTAGTTTAAAACTTATTTAAAAAAAAATTATTTCCAGGGGCGTCCGTTATGGCCCAGTATCTCCGTAGGGGGGCCGTAGGAAAAAAAATGTATAGGAACTCATATAATTTTTATGCGTTATATCTAAAACCCTGTATAAGAAATTTCAGAAAGTTCATTGTCCAAGAGTTTTGAGTTTTAGCCGATATTTTCAATATTAATAGCATCGGGAAACCTAAACATGACACCTTATGTAACTCAAATTTTGCATACGATTTAGGTTTCTTGAAATGCAACTTTTGCATGTAAAGATTTTAAAAGTAATCTTATATACATTTGTGACATTTAGATCCCAGAATACAACTATATGTCTTAAAATTTTTGGATAACCTTTAATAACAGGAGATAAAACTCAAAAGATGCTCGAACGGTGCACCGAGGTGTGCCGTCGCTGCTGCAAAATATCCCCACTCTCTTTAAAGGCCTTCAGATACATTCGTCACTGTATACTCAACGCACTGTGGGCCAGAAATTTCCTAAACAATGAAAAAATCAATTTTAAGTAATGATGGAGCACTAAGTTTTCTTATGCTAAAAACGGTCAAGTAGGCCATTAAGCTTACAAAAATACCAGAAATATGTGAGCATAGATATGTCTGTGAGTTTTTATGTTGACACACGCGAGTTTGACAAATGTCGGTAAATTTAATACTTTTTGTAAGGTTTATTTTGTTTAAACAAATCGCTTAAGTTTAAGACATTACTAAAGGTGGATTAACTTTTTGACATACACTATGAGTGTGCCAGATGCAGGTAAGTTCAAGGTTTTATACTTACCATATAAATTTTATAGATTTCTTTGCGAAGTTTCGAACAAAAAATAATGATTTAGTGAACGCATGTAAAAGCAAAAACTAAAACATCACATGGATATTTCACCAGATATATATCAAGATCTACACTGAACTACACGTTTTTGTTGATGCTCTTAAACTCTCCAGTACTCAAGCTTTATTATGGAAAGAAAAACTTTTGCCGAATTTTGCCTATCCAGGAGAAAACCTAGGAGAAAACGCAAGATTTTCTTTGTGGTATACAATTTGATTCAAAATAAAGCTCTATTCGGGTATTAGTTGAAAGGTTATTAGGACTAGATTGTAAAAAAGTTTTTGAATATGTGATCTGTCATTTTGAAAGTTTTGACGTATTTTCGAAATATCATATAAATGCAATTTTAGTGGTTTTAATGTATTTTTTAAATTTTTTCATGTTCAATCGTTGTGGTGCATATAAATTTGCAGAGTAATTTTAAAATACCCTGAGAACAAGAAACATTTATTATTAAAAATCAAAATAGCTATTAAACTATTAAAGAAGCAGCTAGCTGCAATAAATGGTTGTTTTGACAGCGAAACAAGCTTCGATAGTGATTCCAACTAAGAAAGTTGAGCAACTAAAGCTATATTTTCCCTTGTTGTTTACTTAAATGATTACTTTCTGTTATTGCAGTTCAATAGTTGTTATTGAAGACTTTAATTTAAAGTATAGCCTTTTAAATAATTTTTCCGCAAAACTCAGCTTTTTCAATCTTATACCTTTGTTTCGATTAGATACCTGTATATTTTTCGATTAGATACCTGTATATGTTTAAAAAAATCCTGGGCCACAGTGCAGCGGTATAATACGGTATATTTTTTAAAATTTAGTTCTTCGAACATAGGCAAAGTGAAACGGCCATATGGTGAATTTACATATTTCTCTAAATATTTGGATGTAACCTAGTTTGACAGCACCTCGTGATTCACGAGTCGTGAATTGGAAAAAAGTGAAGAACAACCTCGTTTGCCATCTTAGGTAACTATATTCTATGTCCAGCGTTCGTTTTCATCGAGGAATGATTTAAAGAAACACGCAATACCAAAGCAATATTTAAACGAGTTTCGAGACTCTCATGGAAGAAGATAAGTATACAGTCAAAATTCTCACAGAAGAGGAAAATTGACAGAAATAAAGAATTCTACTTACATTGTTTATGCGCGTTTCGTAGCATACCGGTAAATGTGTTCATGAAATGAGCTCATGATGACTTCAGAATGAGGAGTCATCTGTATGGGTTAGAATAATATTATGCACTTACATAATTTTATTTGTCCTATTCTCATTTTGGTTTTCAATCCTATTAAAAATATCCCAAGCTATGTTGCTAAAATTCTCCTTCAACTCTGACTCAATTTCATTATTTACCATAATATCCAAAACGGTTTCTAAAAGATTTTCTCTGTTGGTATGATCAAACACAGTCATGTCAGACCATAACTTTGGTATGAACTCAATGGCTCCATTTATGTCCACAATTTTTAGTATTTCACCCATGACACCTGGTTCTGGGACATAAATATGTGGTACATATTTTTCATAAATATCTCTCATAAATTCTTCCAGTGGTAAAGATTCAGACAATAGGACAAAATAGTTACGACTGAAATAAGTTAAACTTAATAATTAAATAAGCTATACAACTTGTAATTTAAAAATGATTGTAACTGTCTGAAATGTGTTTTAGCCAAATTTAAATAAAAATAAGTGAAAGTTTATTGCTTATAAGCCAATTTATTAAGTTTTAATATTTATTAAAATCCATAACAAAAATTACGTCATTAAGTCATCAAAATTTGATTTTGATAAAATAAGTTTTTAAGGTTCCTATAATAAAATAATTCTTGATGAAAAAAAATTTAGAAATTTCCGAATGTATATTGTTAAAAAGTTGTAGTTTTGGAAAATATTTTCTATTTTAATGGCACCAAGGAACCTAAAAATTACCCAACTAACAATTTAAGTTTTATAGAAACTCTTAGAACGTTTACAGAACATATTTTATAAAATATTAGCTGTTCTATAAACACTTTCACAATGTTCTTACAGCTCTTGTAAGCATGGAATTGGCGCAGATTATAAAACAAATCGGCTGTAAGACATGCTCTATAAATGTTGTTTGTTGCTATAATAAAACAGTTTTTAGAACATTTATAAATGTCTAATAAAAATAAAAATAGAACGTTTATAAAACTGTTTTATAACAACTCTGTTACTTGGATGAAAAGAGACAGTTAAAGGACTTTTTTAGAGCTGTTATAAAAATGTTTTGTAAATGTTTTATAAAGCTCGTAACTTAAGCTATTTTGCTACGAGCGCCAATAGTTACAGGATAAAAAAGTTCTTTTAACATTCCTATTGACACAAAATTGTTTTTAAATATGCAATTAGTCTCTTTAGTTGTTGTTTAGAGATGCCAAAACCTGTTAACATTGTAGCAAAAATAAAATGACAAATGGCTGATACGGTATTAAAAGTAATAAAAAGAATGAGTAAAGAAATCACCTATGGAGCAGATATTGCTGCGAAATTAAATGTACTGTTAAGTATATGGTACAATCCTAACAAAATTTTAATGCGCCTCTCGAATTATGATAATTAAGGACATCTAAAGTATAATTTAATTAATAAACAAAACAAAAAAATGATATATTTTTGGTAAATATTTTATTACGACTTTCTACATTATAAACTGACAGTCCAGCATACTCATCTTTTACGAGACACGAAAAAATATAATTTAAAAATGTTGGTCGAGACCTGCATTCATATGGCTGTCGCTTTAAAGGCTCCCAAAATGGCCACTTTCTTATACGATCCTTATGAATCAGAATTGTCCGAATCAGGACAATTATGCTCTGTAAGTAGCTGTTATAAAAATCAAACCGGATTTCTCTAGGCAGAGGCGTACTCCGTTTGCCATGGATTATTATCAGTGGTAAGGGGCCATCCAAAAATTACGTCACACGTTAAGGGGGGGGCGACGAAAAGTGACACTGTGTGACAAGGGGCAGGGGGGGTCAAAAACTGTGTGACGTCACATGTTAAAATCTAAAGTACCAAAATGCCGAAAGTTATATGCAAACCAAAAACTTAAAAATATTACTAACGATCTATATTTTATTTAAATTTAAAAACAGCTTTTATTTAATTACTTCTAAATATGAAATTTAAAAAAAAGTGACATCACAACAGGAGGGAGGGGGTTTCATAAGTGTGACCACCTGTGATAGGGGCGGGGGGGTCAAAAAACCACAAAATTTGTGTGACGTAATTTATGGGGCCCCTAAAGGAGATGGGCGATTTGTGGATACCTGCAAAGACTGCAAAATACCTACATAAAAAAATAGCAAATTTGGCACGTGTGATCGTTTGAAATATTCGAATAAAAAAAGAAAACAACTAAGAAGAATTTACCTAAATGTCATAAAATAATGGGTATCTAAATTCAATATGTTACTACACTCGCACTGCGCATGTGCAAAACCAAAATCCACTGCGAAATTCGCAAAATTTGAAATTAAGTCAATATTTCCGCCCCCCAGATTTTAAATTTTGCGAATGGCAAAAATCTTGAAGACAAGCTTCATGTGATTTGTCATATTTAAACTCAACCAATAGGATCGTTATTGGCTTTTCGCAATTCACGATTCGCAAGTATATGAACTAAGCTTAAGAGCACAGGGTTTTGGTTTCTTGTAAAGTGTATAAATATATGTCGGTTTTTCCCTTTGTTTGTACCACAGGTAGCTAGTATTTTGTTAACACAGGTGTTAACAAAATACTAGCCTACCTATGGTACCTACCCTGTATAATTATTATTAATTAATTATGAAAAGCAAATATAAACTTATTTTTAACATTCAAACGTAAAACAAAATCTAATAGAAACTGTGGTATAAAAAGTAATATACAAATTAATTTAGTCCGGTCATGTGAGCACGCGCCATATGCCTTAATTTTTTTTGAACGTGAACGTTCGCGCGTAATCTTATAGGTGGCTCTGGTGCTGTCCGTGTAATGAGATATTTATCGAACAGTTAACGGATTTTAACAGAGCAGATTTTCATTTATGTTTTATAAAAGCTTTTTATAATGATCTTATAAAACAAATGGCTCCCATAAAAGCTTTTTACAATGATCGTATAAAACAAAAGGCTCCCATAGCTAATTTATTATTGGCCTATACAAAGCAAGTTTTCCCTCCAATTTTCCTAACCTAAAATAGTTGTCTGGTATTTAAGAGAGTTCGAGGATCTTGAGGTAGACAACTTGGTATGCGTTCATTAATTATAGCAAAAAGCTTCTTTTGGGATAAATGGGGAATATTATTTGATACTGCCCATGACCGCATGTCTTCTCTTAGCTTTGCATTTTTTTCTATCTCGCACAAACTGCTTGCAGAATATTGTTCATTGCCGGGAACAGAATCTAATTCTACCGAATCCAATTTTCTATTTCAGCTTCCCGGTCAACATCGTTCAGTGCTATTGTCTGATGAGAAACGCAATTAATTATATGGTTATTTGGATTGCTAATCTCCATCTCTGAATGATTGTTAGAGCCATTAGTGCTTTCTATCTGTGGGTCACTTACGATTTCATGATATTTACTTTTAAGTTTTTTGTAAAATGTACCACTTCTTTTAATTTTTTTCCAGCTACTATGCGACATTTTAAATTAAAATTTTTAATTGTACATGCAAAATGCAAACAAAAATATCATCAGACAAAATGAAAATGGAGGCTATTTTATAATAGTTTTATAATTATTGTTGTGGTAACATTTTATTGTTAAAAGACCTCCTTATGCAACATATTTGTTTTTTAACTGTTTTTTGTAAAACTATAAAAAAACAATTTTATAATTACTCCATTTTATACCAATTTGCTGCAGAAAGCAAATCACTTTTATTAATAACAATTAGAAAACTATTTTAATATTAGGAAATTTGTTCGTAACAAAACAGTTTTATTATTGATTTTATGGCGATAAATTAATCCAAAAAAGCACCCTTAAAGAATGCCTTTAAAGCAAAGTATCATTCAGAGCTAATATGCTCTATAAAAAGTATTTTATAAACGTTTATAAAATAGCTCTATAACTTATTTTATAATTATTTTATAATTTTGCTGTAAAAACGTTCTCAAAACAATTTTAGTGACAGAATAGTTGAGCGCAACAAATTTATCGCGAAATAATACTTTATAAAACATAAAAGTTTCTACGAAGCGTCAATAAAACAATTATAAAATATATTAGTTCGCTAACGATGTCGAATTGCTAGTTGGGTACTCTTTATGTACCTTAAATTTTGTATCAAATTTTTCATCCTATTTATAGGCATAAAAGATTTTAGATTTTATTTTATTAATTTTAAAACTTTGTTACGTCTATGAACCTGAGAGACATCATATGTAATTCAAATTTTGCACACAAATTAGGTGTCTTGATATGCAACTTTTGCCCATAGGCTTTAAAATTTATTCAAAAATTTGTTTCACTCTGGTCTAGTATAAGGTGACCAACTTTCTAAAATAAAAAAACAGGACACATCATGCCTCTTCTCGCCCTTCCAAAAAATAAACAAAATTTATTTTAATTAATGTTTATTATTTGAAAAAAAGTAGTGCTAATAACGTCAATAGTAAAAAAAATATCCTCGACCACTTCTAATAAAAAAATTAAAACAAATCCTAAAAAAAGTGGGAAAAACTCATAATTTAAAAAAAAACTTCAAACAAGGTTTTTTATTACTTTTTTACTATCCTGAAGGTACAAATTCAGATTTGTAATTAATTTTTAACATGAGGCCCGACCACTTTTAATAAAAAAAATTAGAACAAATCCTAAAAAGTTAGAAAAACTCATAATTTAAAAAAAAAATTCAAACGAGTTTTTTTCTTACTTTTTTACTATCTTGAAGGTACTCCAAAAAATTCAGATTTGTAAATTAATTTTTAACCTGAGCCCCGCCAACTTTTTAAGAAAATAATAGAACAAATTCAAAAAAGTGAGAAAAAGTCATAATTTTTTATTATTATTTTTTTTTCAAACGAGGTTTTTTCTCACTTTTTTACTCTTCTAAATATAATTTTAAAGTTGAAGATTTTTAAATTAATTTTTACGCTGTGACTAGAGGCACGATAACGGGCCGCGATTCGAAATGTTCGTTAGTTACGTCATAATTATTTTACGTCATAATTTTAAGATTTTATGTTACGATAAAACTAAAACAAACCAACCAAACCCAACCCAACACTTTTTAACAAAGGAACAGCAAATTTATGATATAAAAAAATAAAAAAACTTCGACAACTTCCAGTAGATTTTATGTTACGATAACACTAAAACAAAACAACCAACCCAACCCAACACTTTTTAACAAAGAAACAACAAATTTATGAAATAAAAAAATAAAAACAATACAACTTCTGAGTATCGAACCCGGTCCCTCTCGCATGCTAAGCGACTGCCCTACCATCTGCTATCTAAGCTTTTTAAATTTTTTAAAACGCTCGGGGAACAAAAACGGATTATTATTATGACGTAACTAACGTGCCTTTAACATTTCGTTAACGTTAGCGTGCCTCTAGTCACAGCGTAATTTTTAACCTGAGCCACGACTACTTTAAAAAAAAATATTACTAATAAAAAAAAATAGTATAACCAGGACCAAATCTACTAAAACCAGGACAAAGCCAGTACAGAATTAAAACCAGGATACATTAGCAAAAACCAGGATGGTTGGTCACCTTATGACCGGTTTATCAATCTCTAGTTAAGTTCCAGTTAGTCTATCTGACAGTTAAATTTCATATTGATCGTTCTGAGAACAATGGTATCCATGGAAATTATCTAACAGATAACTAACTGCAACTTTAACTGGACATTGATAAACCGGCCCTTAGTCTAGTATAATTCAAGGTCAGTCACTTTTTCATGACTGGACTCATGACACATTTAAGTAATAATGTCTTAAAAAATACTTACTAATAAATTGATTCTTTATATGAATCTCCCATTAAGTCATAATTACTTCCAAAATTCAACATCTTATCTACTCTTCTAGCTAAATCAACATCATGTAAATGATTTCTACAGATATCCATTGCAGTGACAAAGAAATTAGTGTCTGTTATATCTTGAATTTTGTGTTCCTTATTTTCAACAAAATTTAAAATATCAGTTAGGATTGTACTTGTTGGCCCACCTAGACAAATATGTTAAATAATTTAATAAATATTATACTAAAAATACCATATTATTAGTTACTTACGATCTTTGCAGAAAGTAATAAGTACATAATACCAAGAAGCTAAACATGGCTCAATACCAATATCTTTAAACTCCCTCAAAACTTGTAATGTATAAGTTTTGGTTACTCTTCCAGTTCCCATGGTGCTTAAAGTTTTTAAAACAGAATTTAATGTTCCTAAATTAGGTTTCAGGTTTGCCCTATTCAAATCGCTTAGCAAATCAAATGCAAAACTCCAACGTTGATCATAACCTTCTTTTAGATAATTAGAAACTGCTATCAATGAGTTGTATGTGTCTGTGTTTACAATGATTCCTTTTTGTTGTGCTTCCTCAAACAATTGCCAAGCCCTTTCTACTTGTAAATGTTTTGCCATACCTTGGATTATTGCTGAATATACTTCAGCTGTAGGGTTTTCAATGCTAATAAAAAGTTCTTCAGCAAAGTTTCCATCACGCCAAATTTTTCTTTGCTTTTCTTTAAGTCTAGAACTTTGTCTAAACCATCTTTCCTCTATAAACTCTTTATCCAAAGTATCCTCACTGTTATAATAACACAACAATTCTAATAACTTTTGCTGTGATACCTGAGATACTTCAATATTATTTTCTTTGCATATTTTATATACATTCACAGCTTCAGATATCTGAACATCATCAATAACATTTTTTAAATCTTCTTCAGTAACTTTACTATTCTTATTAAATGTAATCTTAGGGAAAAATGTTTCAATAGGTGGCTCACATTCTCGATGATTAAATAGGTCAGCATGCTCTTTTCTTATCCAATGTGCAGCTTTTCTACCTGACTCTTGTGCCATAGCAAATGTACGTTTACCAACATTTGACATTGGGATAAGAAAAGGATCATCATGATATTTGTAATGAGCTGCTGTTGGGTCTCTTGAAACTGTACTTTCAAGGGCTCTTAGAATATCTGTTGGGCCTCTGGGTATTCTGTTAGGAATTTCTATTTTTTCTTCTGCTTTTGAGGAATAAAAAGTCTTGCCCAGTGTGTTCTTTTGAATGTTACGTAATCTAAAATTTGGATATTTTTGTTTTTGTAATATTGTTTTAATTTTTAATTACCTGAATCTTAAAAATAAAGACATTTTTCAAAATTACATAACCTAAAAATTTAAATTAAGTGACTACGGCCACGCCGCGTCTTGGCGGGACCCTCCCACAGACATCGTTCTTTTTGTACGGTTTCGAACGTACTGGTAAGACCAAGCCTGATTTATAGATTGCTTTTCTTTCTTCTTTCCTCCCGTAAAAGATAAACAATACGAAAATCGTAGTTCCATTTATAGATTCCCGTACGGGAATCTATAAACAGCACAACGGTTTTGGTATTGTTCATCTTTTACATGAGGAAGGGAGGAAGGAAGGAAGGCAATCTATAAGTAAAGCCTCATTCAGAACCTCGTAATTAGTGGACAAAATTAACCACTAAAGTGGTTTCAATTAATAATTAATTATAATTATAATCACAATCCACATTGTGCTTATAATTAAGTTAATTATTAACACAAAACGATCATTCACAATGCTCAAAATTAACATCTAAAATTAAGGGAATTTGCTAAAAGATTGCCCATTCTTCTTAACCTGACATATTCAATATTAATTATATTAAAAATTATAATTATATGAAATTTTTTTACAACCATTACAATAATATTGATATAATAATAATATTACCTTCACTTCAAACTTTTTGCTTTTGACATAAAATATCCGCACACATGCGCAAAGCCGCTTTTCAATTATACCTAATTAGTGGTAAAAGTTTGCAAACGTTGTCCACTAATTGAAAAGTACTACCACTTATATTTTGGTTGTGAAGAACACTGTGGGTAGGTATCGATACCTGAATGAATATATTCATAAGACAAACTGTGGATACCTATTCATAAGACAAACTTTTACATTAATTGAAACCACTAATTAATTTATTACACTAATTACGAGGTTCTGATTCTATCTATGGCGTAGAAGACTAAAAGAATAATAGAATCCACAATTGTGTGGATTGTGGATAGAACAACGTCTATACATACAGTACATTTTATTAGCAGTTTAATACGAAGAATCATGAAAAAAGAACGTGTTTTATCATGGAGAATAGCAGTGGCGGCTGGCAGATATTTTTTCCTTAACCAACGTACGTCCCGAGTCCGCCCGCTTGCCGAGTCCCGCTGCTTTACCGAGTCATCTCGCGCTTGCGAACTCAGTGACTAACGTCTAGGTACAGAACAATTGCGAAGCTTCGAAACCAACCCAAACCCAACAACCCAACCCAACCGACACCGCCCCATTGCCCCCCCCGCCCCATTGAGTACAAATTTTTCAACGAAGGAATATATTATATAACTGTTGCAAAATTATTATGAGGAAAGGTAAATAAATTAAAATATTACCTAATGTAAAATTAAATATAAATGCTTTTAAGGCCACATTGTATTATTTCGGTATATAATTTCTTAAAAAAAAATTAAAAAAAGTTGTAGAGGCACCAAGAATCGAACCCCGTAACTCTCGCATGCAAAGCAGGCGCCCTTCCATCGAGCTACCGAGCTTATTGTAAAAGTCCTATCGCTCGAAAAAATAATACCGATTTACAGTGTGACAGCGCGCTGCAGCAGGACTCGGCAAGCGGGCGGACTCGGGACGTTGGTTAAGGATAAAATATCTGCATCCTGTCCTAGGTATCCTTTACTCGAGTATACTCTGACAGTTTTTAGTGACTAATTTCACATGTATTGTGATTTTAATAAGTGAGGTTAACGTACAACCAATAATTATAATTGTTTATCATATTCTACAATTTTTCATTACCATTCTGATTTAAATATATTTGACGAATAGGATACATTATGTCCGTGACAGGTGTGTAATTGTTTCGTTTTCTTTTTTATATAAACCTAAAATAACAAAGCTATCTTGCAGACTTATGTGAGGCACAAAAGGCTCTAGAAAAAGTCCTAGGTGAAGATCTACTAGACGAATACATTGCCCAAACTCTCAAATGGCTCTCATTCAGCAACCCCATCACAAAAGATGAATTTGATCGAAATGTCCGCAAAATATTTATTAATGATGAACAAGTACATTGTCATAACCACTTTATTTTGACTTTATTAAAACGCATCAACATGAACAAACATAAAATTCACAGACATGAAAACAATGGCTTTGAGTATGCTGAATATGCAAGCTATGTGCAGCAAAGCAGTCCTGCTGCAATGCCTGCTGATGTTGAATACAGAAGTGCTGCTGCAGAGTTGTTTATGCCTGATAGTGGATTTGTTTCGAGCAGAATTGCTATATCTATGTGGCAGAATAATATGTATGGAGCTAATGAAAATGTTACAGAAGTAATTATTTATGCTTGTCAAATGTTTATAAAGAATATTATCACTGCTATGTTGAGTAAAAAAAAGGGTTACAAGATTAGGGATGGAAAGTTGCAGTATGGGTTCAATCAACCAATACCAAACCCATTTTTGAAAAACTTTTCAAATTTATCTGATCATACCAGAGCTCCTAAGGTTTTGGTACCCAATGAAGATGATTCTTTTATACCAAAGTTTAAGCAATCTTTGGATAGTATAGAGCAACAAGTGGCATTTGCATATTCCTGCTCCAAAAGAAGAAAGACAGACAATGTATTGACTGTGCAATTGTTATATGATACCTTGAGGGAAAATCCTAAAATTTTAGGGTTGTATTCTATACAGTGTGTTAGTATGTTAAAGTTAGGAATGCAGTTGGATGAATGACAGTTCAAAGCTATGAATGAGAATGGAAAACAAAAAATTGACCAAGGTTATAATTTAGATTTAAAACTGTAAAAAACATTTCATTAAAAGAAAAGCATTAATGCATCAATTGATTAATGCAGTTTAATAAAGTTTATTTTATGAATTAAGTTTGCCTAAAAATGTGTAGGTATTAACACAAAATAAAACAACTTTGGTTTTAAACAACCAATCCTAAATTTTAAATTGTGTTAACTATACTGGATTATATGCAAAAACTTTTAAATTGGATTATGTATATAAAAATTAATAAATAAAGGGGTAAGTCAATGAAGGGGTTTGATTGAAGAGTTTGAAGTTGTTGGAAAAGTTCAGTACAACCTTTGAAAAGTTGGAAAAGTTGGTAGTTTGGAAAGCCAATGAGCAATGTTGACTTGTCAGTTTATCCATGATGCACACAAACATGGTATGCTACTATTGGAGCCGAATTTCGTCCACATAAACCTTTTTATCTTTGTTCGTTGATATATTTTTTTTTAATTTTAACAATATTGTAGGTACCTAGATACTTACTAAACTGACCATTCCAAAAAACTTTTTATTTTTTAAAACATGTTTATAAATAATGTATTGGCTAATTTTTTTAAATAAATATTTTTCATTACAGGCAAAATAATCGATCCACACAAATTTTCGATGAATTTCAATCGCAAATAACTTTTTTATTTGATTTCGGATTTAAACAAATATTAAAGAATATTGTAGATACATTAATGGAGAATCGCTCACATTTTAAAAATTACTAAAAAATACAAGTACGTTTATAATATACAGGTTTAAACAAAAATATGTTTTTACCATAAGTTTAAGACACTCTGTAGAGGAACATTGCAATTTCCAATATTTTTCCTGTATAAAGAACTAAGGTTGCTATGGTCCATCCATAGTCTATGGAGGATGGCAGTGACAGTTTTGTTGAATCATCCCATACTTGGACATGCCATATACAGCTTTCAAAACCTATCAAATTGTTTTTTGCAAATTAATGTTTAAATTTTGAGGTGTCCTTTGTACTTTACTTCTTGTGACGTTTAAAACACTTGCCATGTAATACTGTGACCATCCATCCTGGATTAAATTAATGGCTCTGGCAACATCAGTCGGAGACATATCCATTTTTAAAGTAAGAAGACACCTCAAAATTTAAACATTAATTTGCAAAAAACAATTTGATAGCTTTTGAAAGCCATGTATGACATGTCCAAGTATGGGATGATTCAACAAAACTGTCACTGTCATTCTTCATAGCCTATGGATGGACCATAGCAACCTTAGTTCTTCATACAGAAAAATATTGGTAATTGCAATGTTTTTTTAAAAAATCCTTATTTTCCACAAAAAGAAATATATCGAGGTGAACCAAAAACAAAACTGTTAAGAATAGATGTGACTTGATAAATAAAACTTAATTTAAAACAATATACGGTTTTGCCACTCTACAGAGTGTCTTAAACTCATGGTAAAAAACATATTTTTGTTTAAACCTGTATATTATAAACGTCTATTTTGTAGTAATTTTTTAAAATGTGAGCGATTGTCCATTAATTTATCTACAATATTCTTTAATATTCGTTTAAATTGGACATCAAATAAAAAAGTAATTTGCGATTGAAATTCATCGATTATTTTGCCTGTGAGTGTATATATATATATAGCTATAGCTAATATTATTTTTGAATTATTTTAAATAACCAAGATAAAAAGGATTATGTAATAAAAAGGAGGTTGATAATTATAAAATATTAGCTCAAATAAAAAATATTTATTTAAAAAAAATAGTCAATAAGATCTACAACGGTTGTAGTACAACCTCTGTTGTCCATTTTAAGTAGAAACACCCTTTGTTGGTTAATAATTTGTTTTCAAATTTTAATACCAAAATTGTAGATACCCAGATAACATTATGAGGTTCATAGTTGATGCATATTGCAGTCACAACGTGATTGTAATCCGCACGTATGCACGGATGGTTGGAGAAACATTGCGAGGTTCATAATTTACGCTTATTGCAGTCACAACGGGATTCCGCACGTATGTCACATATATGCATCATTTGCGTCATCAATTGAGGTGAATTTTGGACTTGCATTGCCTTAATTTGATTGTTTTTCTTGTGGGGTAGAGGTACAAAAACAGTCCCAACTTGTTCATGTTTTAATTTTTTCTGAAATTATGAAAATTTAGAACATTTCACTAAAAAAAGGTACTCTGGATTATAAGAAACATTAAGTATGGGTTATTTAATAAAAATATTAGTTGTGAAATTCATTTTATTTGAAAATTCAAATGCAAATTAGGAGTACCTTTTTTTAGAAAAAGTCTATATTTTCATAATTTCAGAAGAAAAAAAATAAAATATTAACCCTAATAAAATTGGGCCGTTTTTGCTCCCATTTTTTTGGTGATTTTGGAGTGGTTTACCCGCGCCCATTTCGCACAATAAAAACTAAATTAAGTATTTTTATTTATAAACTTCAGCATAAAAAAACTGACTTCTTGATATAATAACATAAATAACGTTTTTTGGAAATATTATTATAACTTTTAACTTTTGGTAATATTTATGGTTTCGCGTAAAAATCGAACAAATTTTGGACATTCGTTTGCAAGTGATGCCAGAATTGAATATATTTTTTTAACCTTGTTTCTACATCTAAATGGTACATTTAAAAAAAAAATCATCCATTGACCGCTGTGGTTTTCAGGCCTTAAGTCACTCTCTGTGTTAAAAATAGATAAATTTCGATATTTTGTAATAACATTTTTGTTTAAAAACGTATCAATTTTAAATTAAGAAAAAATGTAGACCTTATTAGTGGCAATAAATCCACGTATTATTTTAACATACAGGGGGCGCTGGGGACAATTTAATTTAAAATTTTACCATTTTTAAAGGGTTAAAAAATCGAAGAAGCAACATTTATAATTTTGAGTATATCACGTTAAAGTACCGTAAACACGGCTTTAGCTCACTTTCAAACTTAAGCTTAAAATTTTTGTGGTTTTAACAATCATAAACATTAAATTTTGTATACCAAAATTTGAGTCTTGAGTTGCTCTTTCATAATAACTATGTTATAATATTACATAGGGCTGAGTTTCAAAAATAAACTGGGTGTGCAAAGTTAACCCCTGGTTGCGGGTTACTTTGTCTCACAGTGTATTTTCCGTATAAAATGAATTCAATAGTATATTTTATTTTTATTAGACACGTGTTAGCAGCGACATATATATATTGCAAGGGATTACCGATAAAAAAAATAAACAATCGACCTGTAGTTAACCAAGGATCATCATTCCAAAGGATTGCGCATAATATAGAAATTGTAACGCGTGTTTTGCACTGATGCGATATATACAATTTTAAAGTGTAATAAATGATTTATTATAAATCCCATTTCTTTCTTTAAAACACTGATTTTCCGGTAATATAAACTCAATAGAATCGCTCAATTGACTGGTTTAGACCAACAAATTATAAATTATCGAGTGCGAAAAGATTTTTCATAAATGGGTTAAAGTCACCCGCGGGGTGCAAAGTCACCCGTGTTTACGGTAATGATAATTAACTATTATTTGATATATAAACTACTACATGCAAATGATGTTTCTACGAGAGACTCCATTTTTAAGTTAGGCCTTCAAAGAGCATAATAATAACGTGTTTTACAAATTATATATTCTTTTATCTAGATTTATAAGATAATATAACATATTAAACATTATATATTACATGTAATATATTATATATAACATACAATTCTTACATATTTATTAAAAAAAATCGCCATAGATGGAGATAAAATTAGTTTTACTTATTAATTTTAAATGTTTTCAAGTTTACTAATTTTGATCATAGTGGGCATCATAGACTTTTCTCTATGGTAACCTTCCATTGGAAGCATGAAAGATAATTTGACAGTTCAGTTTAGTTGCAAATGACTGATTGCGTTTTAATTTATAAGTGTACTATAAAAACAAAACATTATTTTATTAAAATGAATAAACTAAATAATAATTATAGACAGTGTCAGCAAGTTAGAAATTATAGCCTACTTTAATTTTATTTTTGCTCCACAACCAAGCTTCAATTTATTTTATACTCGAACTCGAAAATGAGGAAAGTAATATTTACTCAATAAATAAATTAGAATAAAGACTTTATTTTTTATGTTGCAATCGGCTATTTAGATATCTATATTTTTTATTCAGTTGTTTTTCGATTTTTTTGTAATTAGTTATTTTGCATTTTTTTACATTTAATATAATGCTATACAGGGTGTTTCTGGAGAAACGCAAACGATATGGATTTGAAATTATTTGAAATTATTACAATTTGATTTAGACTATTATAGTCTGACTATAGGTACCTAAAGTCAATATTCAAGATATTAATTTTTTTCGTTAAAATTTTGCTAAATGCACGTTAATCAAAAATAGTCTCTAATATTTGGTTATTATGTTTGCTGACATGGTTGTAATTTTTGAAATATTAAAACATTGTTTAAATAATTTAATTTTTTAAAGGTTTTTCAACAAATATCTTGGGAAAAACCACTTAAAATTAGGCAAACTTCAAACAATAATAACGTTTTTATTATAAATGTAAAACCCTGTATGTTTTAACATAATCAAATAGAACATTAAAGAATCTTTCGATTCCCTAAAGTTAAAATTTCAGAGACATTTAACAATTTCTAATATTTTCAATACTATTTTGTATCAAAAAACCTGTGAAATTCTACATGTCGTTTAATGTCACAGTATCCATGGTTACCACCAAATCTGTCATTGTTTAATAGTATATTATGTATCAAGTTTGATAAACGCCATTTTGAAATACTTATTATTATCTTAAAATGATTTAAATCAAATATTTGTATAGAGCGCCATCTATGAAACAATAGGGAAATCTGTGAGAGATTCTAAAGGTTATAAATCGAAATGTATTTCTTGAAAATGGACAGTTTTTCACAGTGAAAGTAAAGAAAATGTTTTATGAGCACTT